TGATATTCCATTTGTCTACAAATGCTTGTTTAGTTTAGAGATAGAGTTTAGTTAGGATCAAATTGGGAAATGATTTTTTCTAATTTGGTATTGGTCTGGGTGTTCTGGGAAGTGCCCCAGAATGAATTCCGTTTCTCTGGTACTCGTAGTACAGGGAATTCCCTACAGTAGAGCTAGCACGATAAAGCGCGACATGCGCGAGAGAATGAATTAATGCTTGCATCTCTGTAAGCGCGACATGCGCGAGAGAATGAATTAATGCTTGCATCTCTGTCTCTTCTATTCTTTAACCGAGTTTAAAAAAGGAGGAGGTTCTCAATCAGACTGTATATTTTTTTTCTGTTTTTGTATGTTACGCGATGACTACGGCATTTGTGAACCAATTTTGACGATTCTATTTGTTGAAGGAGCGAGGGGCCTCAGTAGTGGTCCCGTATAAATTTGAAATGTTCCCCCTCTAAGGATGGCAAACTATAATAATAAACTATATAAACGGATGAATGCGGTTTTGCGCACTTTCCAGTAACCGATTGCAATATAACGTACCAAATAGATGTAATTCTATGAACTTTTGAGATCGGTTTTTTTTTAGTACCGTGTACTGATATTATTTCGTATAAATTGCATTTTAAAAAATGGTATGGGATCACAATTTTTTGCAGTTAAGTCTGTGTTTTACATTTTCTAACCGTATTTACCCAATTCCACAACTGTGACTTACGACAGTATTCAGTTTCATGTCGTACATTATTGACCAAAGGTACAGGAAATAGATAAATAACTGTCACTTCCTGCAGACTTTTGCGGTACCATAGCGTATATCCTCATTGCAATTATCTTGCTATCTGTTACGCCAACTACATTTGACCTATGTAATTTGCTCTAGTGTAGTAAAACGACAATTCAGCACTGGTGGCCTAGTGAGGGAACGGTCGCTTCTTAATTACGAGATTGTTCCAATCGCTGTGGCGGCACGTGGTAGCATTTTACGTGGCTCTTGTTATGTTTGGCAAACAATTACCATGTGTAGATAGCATATGTCACAAAGTATTTGCCTTGTTCGTCTATTCGACAAATGCAACAATCACCAATCTCTTAATTACCGGCACATGGGACTTGTCAACTTATCGCATTGCTGTTGCAATAGTGTTGTAACTCAAAATATGTGAAATACAAGATTGTACTATTCCTGAACGTAAAATTTGATTTTCTACACATCAATAAAACCGTCGTTAAAATATTGTAAGAAACAATTAAAGTAAATCTATGTAACTCAAAATGAGACAAACTTTTTGTGAACTAATACTGGATAAAACAGTCTTAATAAATAGGTTTCAAAAAATATTAAGTTATTTTTTTCCTTTTATGTCTCAAGTAGAACATTTCTTACATGTCTGTTATAAATAAGCTTTAACTTATACATAAATTTTAATAATATTTCGCTGCAAGTGAGTAATTAGTTTTTCATCGATTCTGAAAAAATGCATTTTTTGAGTTAATATACTATTGTATTAACAGTGCGTTATGTATGTCTCAAGGTGACGAGCGTAGTGGCAGTGCCCCTCAGATCTTTGCGATTTAAAGATCTAAGTGGTACTGCAACTGTTATGGACAGTCGTATCGTTTCTCTCTTCGCTTCACTTCGTATCATAAAAAAAAATACTTAACCTGTATTATGCCTAAGAAAAGACATAACTAGTGGCTACAGACGTAGCCGTCGTAGACAACTCCACGATCAAAATATCAATTTCAACTAAAACATTTATAACCAGCAGCACAAAGCTAAATGTAGCACATACACGTTCTAGTAACAAAACAAAACTGAGAATAGAAACTTTCATGTAATCATAAATAGACCAGCATTCACTTTCACATCCGAGTAGTCTGAAAATAACCTCACCTATACTAAAGAATACTCAACAAGTGGGTCAAAGACTAGGTTCGACCTACATCTGCGATCTAGAGTCCGACTGAAGGTCAATTCGTCAGCCGAAGCCGAAGGTTTGGTCAGCCCTTCGGATAACGCTGAAACCGATTCTGATCGCTGAATGTGAAATAACTTTAGACTTTGTATTCTAACGCTAAATAACACAAACGTTCAATTTCAATATTTCATTAAGTAAAATGTTATCTCAAGTTTTTAAATTTCCAACTTGACTATTCTAACTATAATCCTATAAAACTTAATTAACTAATTTTCAAGTAACAGAATTTAAAAGTTTATTGCTGCCTTTCGGTGGATTAGTCAATACAACTTCGATAATCTTACGAATTATCGATTTAAATTAGTCTCGGTATTGCACGATTATTCGTCGCTTCGATCGGGCCTGACTCAATTATTTTGGATAATTTTCGGTTATTCTACTATTGCTTGCCAGCTGCACTCTCTCTTCTCAGTTAGTATATAGCCGAATATGCAACTGTCATTTTCCGAAGCCGAATCTTCAGTCGGACCCTAAAATCGTGCGGCCCCAGTGCAATATTTAGTTTATTATGATTACTCACTCTATTGTCGATTATCATCTCATCGCATTCGCAAGGCCAGTCCGTTTTCGTGCGTTTCTTTTGTGTTTATACATGGATGCAGGCTGTAATTTGTTGATAACGTTCAGAAACTTGTACTACGTAAATCGTTATCATTTTAAAAACAAACTTGATCATTAGTTGTTTAAAAAAAAACAATTTAATTCGTATGTTGTTCTTAATCCGAATTGAACTCGTGGGTTTATGGTTTATCTTGCTATTTGGAGAAAATAGATGGATAGCCCATAAGTTCGTGGGATTCACTAGGAGTACCGCAGACGCAAAATTACATGAACATACCAGGCGAACAGAAATCACTATTTCAACAGTCTTATTATGTGTGTTTTTCGAGACTGCTGAAGAATATAGTTTCATATTCGCTGGAAATGTCCATGTAAATTTGCAGTCTCTGATACGGCTAATGGAACATCGTCCTTTTACACTTAACATTCAAGTTAAATGGCGTAGCCTAAATTCGCCATTATCCTTTTTTTTGTAATAGGACAAAGAAATGGGTATGAAGTTGATTGTTTAAATTTTATTTTATTAGAGCATTGTCAATGACTGTCCGTACTTCTTGTTAATTGGCTGAAGAGATTAACTATTTTAACATGGACATAGCGTTTGTTACAATATTGTTGCTGTCTCTATCCAACGTGTCTCGGTCGCGGGTATGTGAGCAAGACCGCACTCGTTCGGGACGTTTTTCTGGTGTAATTTTTATTTCATATTTTAATGCCTTTTCAACGAGTGTCAATCACGAACTGTGAAAACAATATATCTTATGTGCTAACTTATTAATACGCCATCACAGTTGTGTACTAGTGGAAAAGGGTTTCATGGAATTCGTCTTACATCATTGCTTCTCATATTTGATTCGGAAATAAGCCTTTGTTAGATAATACTCGCAATTCTTTATTGTTTCCATAATCGCTCGCTTGCTCTGTTGTTTAATCGAGACAGCTCGATGCTTTCTCGGCCACTCTCGGTGGTTACTTCGCGGCATTGTGATTTATGGACAATTTTTTTTAATTGAATACCTTTCCAATGCCGATATCTATCTTCAAAAACCTGGAACCCACTTGTTTTTGTGTTTTGTGTGGCACTGTTTAAATTCAACTCTATGTTCAAAGTATAAAGGGCTAATGTTACCATGACGATACTTTTCTCACATGCACCCATCCTTGATCTTTGTACTTAATCGTCGCAAACTTCCATTTCAAAGGAACTACCACAATTAGATTTCTAGTTTCCATTGTTAACGAGTACCACAATTACTGTTGTACTGGTAACTGCAAACAATCGTTTTTTAAACTCTATCCATTATTTTCGTCTAAGGTTTTTTGTATCGCTTATGAAGCTTTAACAAATACAGTACAAGCGTACTTACATGTATTTTGTTACCAAAGCCATTGTTCTTTTTTGCCACTTTAAAAACATTTAACAAACAAGAGTGACACTTGGTGGGTATACTGTTGGTTAATTTTCCGAAAAACTTCCGAATAATTGAAAAAATTTGAAAAATATAATTTGGAAGGCTATTATGTTCTACGTTTAGAAATATTTTTTGAAGTTTTATTTACCGTGAATTATAAAATAAACTTGTATAGCTAAAAGCCATATAGAGAAAAACTAGATTGAAAATGATTTCACAACGGCGAAAATAACCAACAACTACACCACCACCACTTATTGTTGACTCCATCGTTTTCGTTGCTAGGTGTCAACGTCAAATATGGAAAATCACAGGAAAAATATTGGAAAATATCCGGAAAAATATGTTTTCAAAATAGACATTTTTCCATGACCCAACAGTAGGTGGGTATCTCTTGTATAGCAGTTCTGATGAAAGTTTCCAGAAGTGTCCAAATTCACGGCTGCCTGGGCGCCACCAGGTCGCCGCCACTTATTTTACAGGTCTATATTCTCTTTCAAGAGAAAGATAGATAGATATCTAGATAAGATATGTATAGACAGTAGGTGTGAACATACCTATGAGCACAACTCTAAAACAAAAATGAGATAGCTTCCCTTTCTTTGCATCTATTTTCTATTCTTCTATTCATTTCATTCATTCTATTTACGAGAAATAAAACTTATGTCGTTAATAGATGTAAATTTTTTTGGCAAATATACCAAATCCAAATTAACACTCAGTTCATCGAAAACTTTGTATTTGAGGTGATTTTTTTTATACATTGTGCTAATTTTAACAATGTTCTCCTTAACCACAAACATTGTGACGTAGGTCTCTCTTGCAGAGGCCACGAGCGAAAGCGCCATATCCTTGAAGACGCGAAGTACCCAATCCAAATAGGTCCCTTGTGAGGGTTTGTGTCTTAAATGCTTTCCTTATAATAAACCCGTGCCCCCGAGACGTATAAAGGTCGACACAATTAAATTTTTTTCTAATTACGTAATGCATTTTGTATCTATGTGTACTTAGAAGATTTTTAAATCGTATTCTTTGTTCACAGATTACGTAGCGGGCGGTGAACTATTCACTCATTTGTACCAACGTGAGCATTTCCACGAAAATGAAGTTCGGATATACATCGCCGAGATCATTCTAGCTCTTGAACAGCTTCACAAGGTAACGAATGCAGTGTACATCTAATACGATCCAGATAGGTACAGGGTCAAGAGCGCGTCAGCTTTGAGACTTAACATTTAAATTCCAGTCCAAAATATCAAGCTTGCTATGGTCGTGCCTCCAACAAGAAAAATTATTATTTTTATGACCACAAATACGTCACACGTATTGGCAATACAGTATACTGAATAATATTGACTTTAACCAAGGTAACCTATCAAGATACTTGACGGATTCAATCACAACATGACCAAATTAATTACTTAAAGTGGTTGTTGCAATAGTTGGGTTGTTTTGAACCCAAGAACGTTACAAGGAAACAAGTTGTATAATCACCTTAAACAACGTCTTGTTATTCCAATAATATTGTTTTTCAGTTTGTTGCGCGCGCGTTTTCTGCATATTTATCAATGTTTAGTAGCTTCACCTCTAACGATGAAGCGAAAACATTGTGATGAAACCTGCATGTCCAAGAAGGTCCACAGCCCCTGGAAAACGTGTCAAATCCACCACGCTTTGGGCTTTCGTGGCGGAATTTGGCCTGTACCCTCTTAGAGGGTTATAGGTCATACTAGGCAGCGGCTATTAGTGACGCGTGGTCTACAGTCGGCATGTCTTGAGTTCTGGACCACAATAGTCTAGTTTATGCTATCGATATGATAAGAAGAAGAGATCCGTGCGCGACAGTGGTGATATTGAAAAACACAATCCACATAAATTTACTTCAATGAACAACCCAATAAATGCCTAACGTGATCACGCGTCTGATAGGACGATCCTAGTAAAACCTGTGCTTTATTCTTATCGTATTTTTCCACAGCTGGGCATAATCTATCGAGACATCAAACTGGAGAATATTCTCCTGGACGGAGAAGGCCATATCGTGCTTACGGACTTTGGTCTCTCCAAGGAGTTCTGCGGTGGCGAATCTCGGGCTTACAGCTTTTGTGGAACCATTGAATATATGGCGCCAGAAGTCGTCAGGAGTGGAAGCCAGGGACATGATATTGTGAGTACACCTTGTTACTGTAGTTTCGAAAGTGTTTTTAGAATGAGAACAACATAGGAAATGAAACTATTTTTCCGGATTTAAATCGCGTATATTTGTTTTTTCAAACAAACCGACGTTTCGGGCCTTTACAGGTCCCATGGTCACGGTTGACTGAGGTGGTACAGTCTTCAACCAGTTATGTCTAATATTAATGCAAACCACCCTATTTTTTCACTATAGTTACAATAGTTATTAATTAAATACCTTATTTTTAATTTGTTTTGGTTTGGGATTTTTCATTAGAGGACAACAGACAGACATAAGACTGCAGTACTAATTAATATGTTTTAGTTTATTCTAATTTCTATTAATAATTAATAATAAATTAAACTTAATAAAAATTCATTCAATAAAATAATTTGTAAAACTTAATGTAGCGTAAATTGGAATGTTTTCTTTGTAAAATTAAAAATAAGGTATTTAATTAATAACTATTGTAACTATAGTGAAAAAATAGGGTGGTTTGCATTAATATTAGACATAACTGGTTGAAGACTGTACCACCTCAGTCAACCGTGACCATGGGACCTGTAAAGGCCCGAAACGTCGGTTTGTTTGAAAAAACAAATATACGCGATTTAAATCCGGAAAAATAGTTTCATTTCCTATGTGTAACAATCGCGAAAACCTAAGAACTCGATATGAGAACAACACTTGATTAAATCTTCTTCTTCGCGTGTCGACTCTGACGTTTGTATTTCTGAGGACCGGTACTCAGCGACTGACACCATTATCAGTGGCGTTGTACAGGTTCTCGCGTGTGCAGGTGTAGGGGCACGAATGACAAGACAAAACAAAGATGTGCCGTGGTCTGGGGAGAGACACCATAAATGCATGCGCTCTCCGACCTTATAACCCCACCTGTGCATAGTGGTGTTCATGTAAAAAAAGTCGATATTTTTTCCGATGTGATATATTGATATGTTGCATCGATATTTTGCGATATATAGGTACAAAACATCAATATTTTCGATATATCGTAAATAATTCTAAAAGATAAAAGGAAGGAAATTTTATTAAGAGTAAATAAGTAAAATCACCAGTTTTGACACAATAATCAAATGTATTTCTTACTCTTATATTCTCAATGGCTAGCCGCACACATACAATATTATTGACAATCCAAGTTTATGTATGTTCCCAACACAACAATATCACTCGCACGATACCACTCGATACCAAATGTCACGATAATATCGGATTAATTAAATATATCGAGGACATATGTCGATATTTTCTTGAATAATGATATACTATCGAGCACTCGTACCTGTGAATGCTCTCTTGCTTCGGCTGACTTGGGTTCGCAGTCTATTTAGAGACTTCCAAGTTTCTGTCCCAAGGCAGATTATGCCCAGGAGGGAGGTGTTCCGACAGCGGAATGAGAGATGCCGTGGGATATCTCTTCTTCGAGACATTTATAGACACTTGATTAGTTTCTCCATCCAGAGGGAATACTTCTTCAATGAAGCTGTGCCGAAAATTATAATCTCAGTTCAGAGTACTAAAAAACCGTGCGTGGAATTACATTTATTTGCCAAGTTTTATTGAAATCGGTTATCGGAAAGTACGCGAAACCGGATTCCTTCCCTATTTTGCCACCCTTACAGGTGGAATATTTTCTTCAAATTTAAATGGGACCACTTTTCAGGTACCCTCTTACCAACAAAAATTTAGGAGTTATCGCGAAACATACTTACAGTCGAATTGAAAACCTCCTCCTTTTTTGATATCGGTTAAAAAAACACATCTGTAGTGTAGTTTATATAGGTCATTCAGGTTTTTTTTTTTTTCAAAAGCCATAGTACCCCCTGGACAGCCCTTCAATTGCCCCAACCGCCCACCCAGGACTCTTCAGCGCCTATTGGGGGCGTTATGGACCACTTTGGGAAACTATGCTTTAACTACAGCAAAAATAACAGTTTACCGTTCGTAACAAATAGTGAAAAGTTTTAACAATACGACAAAAAACTGTTACAATCACGTAAATGTAAAAGCAACCAAAACAATTCTCACTAAGTGACCCGAAAAGATAAAGAGCATCAGATAAACCGAGTATGCGTTAGCTTACTCCTTAAAAATGTAGGGAGTTAAAGCTACACAATGACTCATGGTGCTTGTATTTTTTTTTTGTCACCGAGACATTTGAGATCTGAAATGTTATTAGTTATTACCAGATTAGGCTGAGTGTATTTACTTAAACGTCAAGGAAATAATACATACAGAGTGGATAATACCACCATCTGAAATCCTAGAATTATTGTATTTTGTTCTATATTCATGATGTGTAAAAAAGGAATTGCTTCACTACGGTAGTTCATATAGATTTCTTAGGTTTTCGCATTGCTACACATGATCATTAGCATCATTATCAGTCTATAGCAATCCACTGCTGGATATAGGCCTCTTCCATTTTCGCCCGATCCTCGGCTTGTTGCATCTATCTGCTATCGGCAGCCTTTCGCATATCGTCACTCGTGAAATAAGTGTTTATTCTTTTATATATTTCGAAGGCATTTTTTATGTAATATTTGTTATAACATCAAATCAAATTCTAATTAAAATTAAATAACGTTATCTAGTTCATTAATTTGTTTCTTGCTTCAGTGATTGACCGTTTTATGACAATCTATTCTGATTGTTTTGTTATGTATATAGCGTTTTTGTTTTTTAACATTTTAGCAGGCTTATTACTTTTCCATTTACTTGGCCAATATTTTTTAAAGTATTCCACATATATGTATTTTCACATATTTTTTGTTGAATGTTTGGACAGAACATGGGCTAACCTTTTTCGCATTTCGAACTCCTTACTGGTCCCATGGTCACGCCTGGTTTGTTTGAAAAAACAAATATATGCAATTTTAGACCCGAAAAGTATCTAAATCGTTTTAAAAATAAAAGTTTTGTAAATGCGATTTTTTACATTTTATTTTAATCAAGTCAGCATTTCAGTGGAGTATCCACTCCTTGCGTATACTTGAAATTTAGATAAAATATGTACTCTGCGCATTCCAATTTATGGTTTTTACAATGTGCACAATTTTGAACGTTCTAGACTGTACCTATAAGTTCGTTTGTTGGTTAAAAACCCCCCTGGGTAAAGCAGCACCGGTTTGAAGATGTTATATCCCATCGCTTTTCAAAGGTTTTCAATAGCATCGCAGTTGCACTGTTGGCGATGTCTACAAATGGCAGTTAACACTTTTAAAATTCACGTTTTGTTATGGACCTGTACGTAACACTCCTCACGGTTTGAGTTTAGAGTGAGGGGTATTGCTAAAGTCGAGAACATTCCCTAGAAACAGTTGCGAAACAGCATTATGGCGGTTTGACAGACTGGCGTTGTTTGTTACTAAGCGAATTTTGGCTTAATAAGGCATAATCTCAGTCCAGAGTACTACAAAACCGACCTCAAAAGTCATTCGTCCCCTAGTTGACGTGGAATATTTTCTTCGAACTTAAATGGTACCACTACTGACCAAGAAAAAAAGTCATTAAAATCGGTTCACAAAATAAAGAGAACCTCCTTTATTGAAGTAGGGTAAAAATAAGTGACCAGCGGTCGCCTTATTATCTTTGCAGATTAAGGTTCCCATTTTGTAGCAATGGAGGTCCTTGTAAAAGAGTTTGTCCAGGGAAGTACTACCACGGTACCTATTTCTGCCACCAAACATTATTGTGTTACGGTTTTAGAGTATGAAACTACAAGACAGAGGACTTGTCAGGTTTATTTCTCAGGGTGACGGATGCGGTATCAGTTCCCTTCTTTCTGTGTTGTGACAGTTTTCCTCTGAGTGTCACTACGACGATAAGTACACATCTAACCATAACATTACATGTAGATGTAAAGTCTATTCCAATAGAATTGAGAGTGGACGTAAACAAACAATTCTATTGGAATACACTATAGTGTATCACAATAGAATTTAGAGTGGACATAAATCCAGAATATGATAAAAATATATAAATCAAATAAGATAAAAATCCAGAAGTGATTTCTCCAGAATTTTAACCCAACTGGTTTGTTTACGTCCACTCTCAATTCTATTGGAATACACTACAATGTTATGGTTAGATGTGAACTTATCGTCGAGTAAAAATTGTTTGCCTTCAGACATACTTCGTGAACGCTATAACTTGGGCCTTTTCAAGGCGAAAGTGAATAGGAATTATTTAGGTGTGCATGCTCCATAGTCGACCTCATCGTCACTTTCTATCGCATAGGTCAAATCCGCACGTATTTTATCATTAAAAAAATAATAATTATAATAATATGGTGTAGTGAAACAAGTGCCAATTGTAACAAGTTGCGATGACAAAGTTACAACATCACAAATGCTGAAAAAACTGATTGGCTCTACAAGTTACTACATTCGGAGGCATAGATGATTCATCGAACCATATTTGTTTATCAATATTTGAATCGTGTCGGAGTCACTTGTGCGTTGGTGAAATACACATAGCGTTACTACTGGTAACCACTATAAGCTCAACTACGACAGTATATGATAATCACCGTCAGCGAGAACGCTCGCCACACGTTTCAAAACAATGCAAGGTTTCATCTACATTGGTGAATTTTGACAGTACTGCTAACACCTACTAATAATGTGGCAGATATTGATGACTTTGTCTTTTTATTGTTGATGATTATTTTCGTAGCCTACATTTTTTATGCCGATGTTCGCAAAAAGGTTGCTTTACGGGCCTCGAGAAATGGAATTAAATGTGTCTCACATTTCTACGAATATTTTATAGTAGAGTATTTTTTTGTAGGTAATTGAAAATGAGTAGGTTGACAATAAGTCATGGAGTCTTGAGGAAAATTTATTGTTATGGGGTTGTCCTCGCATTTTTGGGAGGCGGCATTTGAGTGTTCGGTTAGAGGAACTGTATTGTATAGTAATTTTTTTTATTTTTGACTATCGACGCAAAAACATGGGAGTTATAAGATT